GGATTCTTCCCTTTATAGGTGGAAGGAACATGGTATTTCTTTGAAGTTAGAACCCGGTACTTCTTCGAAATGATCTCAGTTTTAGCAAGTTGGGTTGAACTAGATCCTTTTTCCATCATCTCCCATTTGTGAGTCAAACCTGGCCCTTTTTTCACCACCTTCTAGTTCTGGTTTGCCCCTAGGATAAAAGGGTCGAACCCAAATATTGTTGGGAACATTAGTTGGTGGCACAAACGTTCTCAAATATGGAAACGTGGGTTTCTCTTGAGGCACTTGAACATTGTTTGGCCTCTTAGAATGGTAGAACACCACTTTTGGATTTTTTCCTTGATGGTGTTTTTTCTTCAGCGCCTCAATCTTCTTTGCAACTTCTTCGTTATAGATCACATTATAGTTTGTGTATAACATGGATCTAGAATTACTCAGCTTACATTTGTTCAGAAAATCTACCAACTCCTCTTCAGGTTTAGGAAACACGACCTTCATCAACTCAGCCATTGTTTCCTCAGACAGTTCTTCATCCTTACAGTCTATTTTTGCTTTGTCGTCTTGATCACCTTCAGGCTTTTCAGTAAAATCAACCATCATCACTTCACGTGTCTTAGAAAAATTGTCATTGCCACTTTTGAGACCCTCAGTAGCCTCGACTGCTGTAGCCACATCCGGTTCATCTTCAAGACCATCAGTAGCCTTAAGTGTCAATGTTTCTAGTAAGTTGATAGTGTTTATCTGTTCGTCTATGAGGCCCCCAGTTACCTCAATCACCAGCACTTCAAATGGATCCACATAGTATGCATCAACCACGTGTAAGGGATCCGACTCGATCTTCATAGCATTCTTTGGTTTCTCACCAAATTTCAGTCGACCGTCTTTCAAAGCCTTTTGAATCAAATCCATGAAAAGAAAACACTGAGAAGTATTATGACCCAAAAAATTATGATATTTGCAAAAACTTCTTTTTTTGTTTTTACTCTAATGGTGGATCCTCAGTGCCTGGGGGAACTATAATCTGACCATCTGAAACTAAAACATCAAATATTTCATCATATTTTGACACATCAAAAGTATATGTTTTAGTATTAGCGCTATCATTTTTTGGATCTTCAACCGTCTTTCCCATAGACGGTCTTATAAGTTTACATGCATATGGAGGCCCCTCTTTCAATTTGGCCACATTAACCTCTCCTTATTCCATTTATTCGTCCTCGGACTCTATGGAATTATTCTCTGTGTTTACATAGGCAATTTTGCCTTTTCTATGGTCCTTTGACACCCTAACTTTCTCTGTTTTTAAACGTCCGACATATCGAACCTTATCAGCTAGTTGGGACATATCCGTAATAGATTGAGGATCAAACTTTTTCCTAATAGAATAATCTAACCCCCCCCCCCCCAGTGGCCATTTCGACCAGCTCATGTTCAAGAACCCTAGTAAAGCATCTAGACTTTAGTATCCTAAACCTATTCAAATACTCTTCCATTGACTCAGACAACCTTCTCTTAATGGAGGATAATTCTTTTAAACTTATCTTAGGTTGACCAGCATAAAATTTCTCATGAAATATACCCTCAAGTTATTCCCAAGTGCGTATGGAGTTTGTAGTCAATGTCGCAAACCAAATAAAAGCATTTTTTGTCAATGAATTAGGAAAATGTCTTAGTTTTAAGCCCTCATCGTTGGTGATATCGCCAGCTTCTATTTCGTACCTAGCAATATGTTCAATGGTTGACTCATTGGCCTCACCAGCAAACTTGGTAAACTTAGGTACCTTACATCTCCTAGATAATTCTGCCTGTCGAATGTAATTAGGCAAAGGCGAAGAGTAATTGGGCCTCCGGAGACCAACATTTACTTCGGATCATGTTAATACTTCTTTTACCACATTTACTATGTTGTTTCTTCCAACAATGGCATTTCTTAACACTCGATCAACATCTTGGTTTCTCCTAACTACGATCGACCTAGGTTCATATTGTTCAATGAATTCTTTGTCTTCATAAGTGGGTGCTTCCACTCTTCGAGGTCTAAAAGGACGCTCATTATTTCCCCCCTCTAGTTCTTCAAAAACCCTCAACGGCCTGTGGCGTGTTTGGGTTTGAGTTGGTTGGACCCCTAATGAATCGATCAATTTACATATTTGGTCAACTACAAGATTGAGGGTGACTCCCATTTGTTGACTTAAAACATTTAATAACTCTAAATTACTCTCATCCATTTGTTGCCTTAAGCCATAATGGATATAGTGTTCAAAGATGGTGCCGACTGCAGGACATAACTAACACCACCTAGTCGACCACTTGGGGCATAACTGCCTTGGTTTCCAGTGGCCACTTTGTTTTCTGTATATGTGGCAAAGTTCGACTGTAACACAACCATTATGGAATAAGGCATACCATATTGGTGAGGGACAAATGATGACCCTGGACCCATGGAAAGAGTGGTCAATTTGGGTCAAATGGCGATACCCATGCCCAGGTTATGTCATTGTGATTGTTGTCACTGAACCATGAACTACAGTTGATCTTACGGGAGATAAAACTGCCGCGCTTTGAGTTGTGGTACTTACTGGTATGACATCCAAATTTTGTATAGAAATCTGCGTATGTGCAATGTTTGTATCAGAGTGTGGCATTTTAGACTTAGACAAAAGTTTACCACTTCTCAAATTCATACACACACTAACTATAAGAAACTTTGTGAAACTACACATAAAATCCAAAAATATTAGCACTGTCCCACCGGGTGTGCCAATTTATTTATCTCTGGATTTGGTAAACAACGTTGGTCTCTTTAAAACAAGTTTACTGGCGAGATCAACCAGATAATCTCAGTACAGTGCTTCAGTTCGTGTGTGTAGTTAAAGTGTTTTCAAAAAAGTTCGTTCAACTGAGAGCCAAACGGATTGATAAAAAACAAAGTAAATAAGACAAAAAGCATTTTAAATTGTAAAAGGTAATGACATAACATTAAAGAACGGTTGGAAATAGGTTGGTTCAAACATACAATGTCTTTGCCTGACTCATTTCACTCGTTCGTTTGGTTACTCTGAGTGACTAGTGTACAAGAATGTGAAAGTTTGACCCTTTACAAAGTGCACTAAGTGCTTTATTTATAATACACATAAATAACTACTTTTTAAGTGGGTTTCGTTTCCTTGCATGCCACGTCTTCTTCATAACTTCCCTCCATGATCCCACGTTCATCACTCCTGATATCAAACCCGCGTTTTCCCTCCATAACGCTTCGCCTTTGCAGTTTAGGCGCTTATAAGCCTTTTAACCCTTTTGGGTTTCTTATCTCTCTTGGGCCCAATCCATTCACCATGAACTCTTCTCTGATCGACTGCACTTACAAAATCTTAGCCGACTACATGTGAGATCATCCATGATCGATATGCTTATGTACTCGACTCCTCATAATTTAATATTCTTTAATACTATTAAAATAATTTTTTTAACTTTTCGTTTGAATTTCTCTCTTTATAAAAATCCTAGTCAACATTATAAAATTATATTATATCGTGAGTGCATCATTTTTTCTCTACTAATTTTTCAATTTTAGCTAACCTAAAAAGTTAATTTCTCTATCTATTTTTTTTTTTACACTCCACCAATAAAATATATGTATTTTGCAAATCAAATTTTTATTTTTAAAATACTATATTTTGGTTAAATGTGTGTAATATTGCTTTACATTCACAGTGCTATCTTTAAACTCAAATTAATAATGAAATTAAATATGATAATTTATATAAATTAAATGTATTCAATATGTATTAAACGACTTACACAGTGCCTAAAAAAAACTTGCATCTACTTAAATTGTTCTTTTTCCACGTATTCAATATTATTATTTTCTACCAACAAAATTTTGTACTTGTGTCTGTGTATATATAATATATGAGAAATTGACTGTTCTGAAAAGAAAAAAATTGATACATATGAAATAGGGATGTCAATGGGGCGGGGCGGGGCCGGGGGGACACTTTCCCATCTTTTTCCCCGCCATCAAATTCATTCCCCGTCCCCATCCCCGATCTCCGTCACGAGGGAATTTCTATCCCCATCCCCGTTCCCCGCGGATCCCCGTTCCCCGCGGGGATCCCCATAGATCCTACATTTATTCATTAATATTTTATTTTTTTAAAATGTTTATATTTTCTATAAAAATAAAAAGCACAAAGAATTCACATATTTATTATGTTATTAAAAAATACTAGTATTTTACATTTCTCTCTCTTAATAAATACATGAATATTTATTTATTTATTTTTATAAATAAACATAAAGGAAATGACTAAAAAACCTAATCTAAAATATATATATTAAATTAACTATATTAAAATAATAGGCGGGGCGGGGTCCCCGCGGGGCGGGGGGTGTATTCCCCGTCCCCGTCCCCGAAATGCTCTCGGGGAAATTTTTCTCTCCATCCCCGTCCCCACGGGAGAAAATTCCCCATCTTTGGGGCCCCGAACGGAGCGTTCCCCGCGGGGATCCCCATTAACAGGTCCAAACTCACAGTGCTATCTTTAAACTCAAATTAATAATGAAATTAAATATGATAATTTATATAAATTAAATGTATTCAATATGTATTAAACGACTTACACAGTGCCTAAAAAAAACTTGCATCTACTTAAATTGTTCTTTTTCCACGTATTCAATATTATTATTTTCTACCAACAAAATTTTGTACTTGTGTCTGTGTATATATAATATATGAGAAATTGACTGTTCTGAAAAGAAAAAAATTTATACATATGAAAGATCGAATTCCTGACAAAATGATTCTATTAAAATAATTAATAATAATTTTACAATTATTTTAAAAAAAAATCAAACTTTATCTTATTATATTATACAACTTTAAATATTATTCAGTTTACTTATTATCTAAAAAAGTTAGAGAAATATGCATATTACTAAGAATCAACCATAAAATGAAAGAGCCTTATCCTTCATTTCCTTTGCCAACACTTCCAAACTAAGTAACACTCATGGCTTCAACATTCCTCTCATATCCTTCACCTCATCTTCTACACAATAATCACTTTCAAACCAAAAAGCACTTCTCCATAAAATGCACAACTTCTTCTTCACCAGAATTTCCCACACCAGACCCTACAAACACTACAATGAACAGTCCAGAAACATTTCCACTAGAGAAAAGAAGAAGATCAGAGATAGTAAGACAAAGAAGGCCAAAAACGGACGTAGCAAAATCCGAGCCACCGAACTTTGAAATCGGTTGGAAGAGGACTAAAGAGATAAACCTTGAGAAGCCTATAGGGTATGTGGTGGCTGATTTTTTGGAGAAGTTGGAGGAACTTATGATGAGGAAGGAGTTTGGTTCAACAGAACTGTTGGCAAAGGTTGGTGAGATTGTTGCTGAAAGGGCTAGAGAAGAAGCAGAAGTTTTGAGAGATGAAGGGAAAGTTGAAGAGAGAATGGTTGTTGAACTTTTTAGAGTTTTGAAGTTGATGGAAATGGATTTGGCTATGGTGAAAGCTGCTGTTAAGGAAGATACTTTGGGGGAGAGGCTTGATCAAGCTAAGGCTAGGTGCAGGCAAGCTATACTTGTTGCTTATTCCTTTTGAATTCAATGTACAATGTTGAGATAACAAAATCAATATTTGTTTTGTTTTAGTGACTCTTTGATATATTTCAATAGTCATTAGATTTTTTTTGACATTGTGTTGTGGTTTCCTTCAAAGGTATATGTATTTTAGACTTTTTAATATTTCCTATGTCTCAAAGAAAGATTTATATGATTCTTAATAAAATGATTATATATTTAAATGTGTAGAATTTGACTTCTCTTCCCGATTTCATGTTTGAGGGACTCCTTTATCGATCTCATGTTTGAGAAAATGTGTAAATCCAATTTTTTCATATAAAATATTTCGTTGTGATAAGTCTCTTGTTTAAAAGACTTTGTACATATTTGAAAATTTGAATCGAAGAAGTATCTTTAAAATGTCTTCAGTTCATTATTCACTGAGTTTTCTGGATTTGTATCTCCGGAGTATGCTCTGTTAGATCAAAGTAAAAACAAATTGAAACAACAATGGCGGAATGAAATTTAAATAACTTAAATTAACTCCAAAATAAATATTACATAGAAAAAAATTACATAAATTTAACATTACATGTTATTAAAAACAGGTGGTTCGGGATGTTGCAACATTCTTATAATATCGTCGGTTGATCTTTGAATCGTCGCTTTCACTTCAATCTAACCCTTTGTTGAGTAACGATAAAAGGTACTCCACGTCACTTTCAAACGGTCATCTGTCTTCAGTTCAAGCATTGTGAACTGTATCTTGCCTTCGTTGTCTATCGAGGGTGAACGGTACTCGAGCTTGACAATTCTCTGATTTTTTAGATATTGTAGGAGAGTATTCAGTTTGGTTTTCAGATCGAGAAGTATGTCCTCACATATACGAAATTAAAGTGGGGGTGTTGTGCCATTGAAATACACAAAAGCAAGTCGGGGATATATAGACATTTTGTTTGTGTAAAAAAATTATTATACCATTCCATGTATCTATTATCTTTTCAACAATCACACCAGGTTTGAAAACTTTATCATCTTCACCTTTGACTTGTTTCGTACCAACCATGGGTTTTGCTCGACGTCTCACATTTTTGGTTATGTGATACTTACAAAGTAATGCGGAAGAAGTAGGAAACATCGTTGCAACCGAATTCATCAGTGTGGTGTCGCGATCAATGATTATGATTTGTGGCATTTTTTTTGGTCCTTCAACATAGTCTTGCATATTTTCAAAGCCCGTGTTACGTTGTCCTCTTTTTCGAATTCCAAAAATGTAAAATGAATGAATAAATCATCTCCATAAAAGTGACACCAACAATTTCTAAGAGTGAAAGTCTATACTTGTTTGTTTGGTATGTTGAGTCAATTATGAGCACGAAAGAAAAGGTGTTGAGCAACTTCACAAAATCGGGATGACTAAAAAATATATCTCAAACAGTGACTTTATAATCACAAACTTGTACCTCGAAACATAATCGTCATCTTCCAAAAGCTTCAATAGTTGTTGCATCTCAGATCTTGGTTCACTTACCACCTTGTTGTCTCGAGCACGCACATTGTATATTTGCTTGATATTTGACACATTTAGAGGTCTTTTCTATTTCAAAGACGCGAGTATGTTTTTCGACGCCACCATGTTTAATGTCATGTTCAAAACAAGTTCCCTCTCCTCCGGAACAAGGCGACTTACAATGGAATGGTCGAATAGCTTGTCATCCAAACCATGATTATGCATACCAGAAATCACATTAAATTTTCATGTCTCATTTGTCATACGAGATATGTGCAATTTAAACGAACACTCACATTTCCTCGATCCCCTGTCATCTTGTTTCAACTTCCTAATCTTTGGTTGATACATGCCACTTCTTTCGCATACCATTATTACAAATGCTTGTCTTCTATCTGAACCATTGTCTGACCTTTCAATTACATCGCCAAAACCTAATTTTCCAGCCTCCCTACGCACCCATTGTAGCATATGTTCACGAACAAAAAACACTTATTTATTTGTAAATTGTGCACGAACGTCTACCTCTACAACGGCCGGTCGAACATCCGGTTTAACATCATCATTCGCTTCTTCCGATTGAACATCATCATTCACTTTATCTGGTTTAACATCATGTTTCACTTCAACTGATTTAACATCCACACTCACAATAACTTTAGGAAACATATCCGGATGCACCATACCTATTATCACTAATAACAAAAAAACAATGTTAAAATTCAAACTATCAAGACAATTCAAATATGCATATTCGGACTTTATCAAACTTCCTCCGGATATGCATTTCCGAAATAAATCACCCTCCCAATACCCTTTAAAAGATTTCATGAAACATTTCAAAGACGCGTCTTTAAATACACCTAAATAACATATGGAGATACATCCCGAATCATATTCATTCAAAATGGGATGAACTTCATAATAGCGCAATATGTTAAAATTTTAGTGTGTCAGGAGATACATCTCTAAACACATGAAAAATAATTTTGATTTTTCAAGAGTGCAACATGCACATATAAAGGCGGAAAAAGTAATTTCCAAATTTAATGAGGATGCTTACAAAAATCCTTACAAGGAACTTTGGATTTAAATTATAGTACCAAATAATTAATTTAACTAACTGGTTATGTTGTCATTTCATATTTGTCTTACAACAACATTAAGTTCAACTTATCATAATACTTGCAGAAATATCAAAATTTAGGATAACTCTTATGACACCATTTTAAGTTTGGCCATCAAATAAATGGATATAATTTTTAACTTGTGCTTTTCTTTTAAGGTGTGAAGGGAATTGGTTATGTAGAACCATTTGTAGAAACTATTTGTGGAACCAATTACTATGTACATCAACACCTATGTTGTTAGGATCTAAGTTATGATGAACACTACATATACAATCTTATTAAGGAGCCTCAGTCAGCATTGTGAGAATTGTCATTGGCTTTGCACCAAGCAAGCAGAGAATCATAATATTTTTGTGAAGGCAAAAGGCCAAGCTTATCCTTCATTTCTGAAATCAACTCCATTGCAGTTTGCAAATATTTCGACTCCGACTCTTCAATTAGAGAAAATACCTATATAATTATGCACATCAAATTGTCAAAACAAATCAACAATAGCCATACTTCTTATCAACATTGAATTGAAAGTCGATAAAATTTGCATAAAAAGTGAACCGGAGCTAACCTTATCAAAGAGAACTTTCATAATCAATTCATCAGTTTGCAACTTATCCTTGAGAAGCTTACACAAGTCAATAGCAGAGCTGACGGAAAACAAAACGAACATAAATAAATAGAAAATAATCATTTTTTAGTTGAAATAAATCAATGGAAGTGAAATATAAAAACAAACCTTAAACGCTTATCCCAAATACAACACAATATGATTCTGCAGCAAGCATCATTCCAATAGGTTGTAGCATTTAGTTTCTCAAGTAGCAGAAGCAATTGATCGAACTCCTCATCAGAACAAGTGCGCTCCTATATGCAAGGGGAGAGGGAAATCAGATTCAGATTTGTATACAAGTGAGTAAACTCAACACTGATAGGTGCAGTTTCTGTGTGACATGTTTCTCGACGGAAAAGTTTTCTTAATATTCATTTCCCTCACTAGATTTCCTTTCTTCTTAAAGACGAAGTTCTGAAAGTAACTTAATAATCAAGAAAACACAAATATTATACCTTGAGAAATGCACAGCCATGTAAAATGAGCTTGTTATATGATGAGCAAGAAGGTAAAACTTCTAGTTTTTCGTGAAAATCCTTGAACTTTTTTATGACATCCTCTACCTTCAAAAACACAAATATATTAGAATCATGCAAATAAGTTAATCGACAAATCATCACTACAAAATGCTTAAAGAAACATGCAAACTGGATTTCATACAACATCAATCATGACTAAAGTTTGAGGTAAACACAAGTGAAACTGATGATACAGTTCTAGCCTTTTAGGAAGAAGCAAACTGCATAAAGCAAAGTACTTAACAGTAATTATTTACTTGAGAATACTTTATCATGCAAGAGGATTTTCGTACCCGTAAGTCTGGAATGCTGATTGCATAACTAGCAATGAAGTTTGTTATACTATCTTCTTCATGATCTGCAAAGTGTAAGAAAATCTCAGTAATTTAAAATTACCAAAAAACAATATTTGCAGTCGTAATTTGTGTCAAGTAATGCATATTAAACCTAAGAGTACAAATTTCAAGAGAAACAGAAACTCATACGTTGTAAGAAAAGTGTATTGTTCTTTCTAAACCAAAGGTAACGATAAAATAAAAATCATGTTCATACTACTTGTTTTGTAATCAAAAAAGAGCTTCTCCGCAACAGGTTCCAATGACAGTCTTCCCAATGCCTGAAATATCTTTGCTACAGAGTTAACGGATGAGAGCTTTTTTATGTCCATGATTTCCAACACCTCCAAAATATTCTCCTTTCTTTCACTCTCACAAAGAGCCAATAAATAACTTTCTGCAACATAAGTTGAAACAAGTAAATGTCTAAGTTACTACATGAAACAAAATATATGTTATTGTTGGACATCAATGTGCATAAAAAAGAAGCATCAAACTAATAGTTATGTTTTTCACCAAATAGTGGATGCACTGATTTTGAAAGATGTATGTTTGGCGTGAACACTTTTTGATTGAGCACATACATGGATTCATATAGATATAAACATTCATATTAGAATACTCGGATGCAATTGGCCTCACAAAACACGGACCAAACAGTTCTATTCAAACAATCAAAAAATTAAAAGATATCAATTATGTCTATGTAATGTGAAAAACTTAGATGAACTTCTCAACATATGTTACGGTTAAAATCCAAAGATAGAAGTTTGAGCACAGCTTCATAGAAACAGTTTATGACAAAGAAATACAAGTGAAAATAAATACTCCCTCCGTTTCAAAATGAGTGTCGTTTAAGGTTTTTGCACACAGATTAAGGAATGCAATCATATTGTCATGAGACATTACACTTTTACTAAATTAGCCTTATTAATTTATTGGAAGTAGTGTGCAGAGTAATAATTATAGGACACAATTGAAAAAATAACTATCATTACTACATTGAAAAGTGAGAATGACATTCATTTTGAAACGATTTTTTTCTCTCTAAAACGACACTCATTTTGAAACGGAGGGAGTAAATAAAAGATCCACGTACCTCGTAAATCAAAAGTTTCCTCGCCATCATTCTCTACAATATAATCACAAAGACCCTGAATCTTTTCTCCATCATTAACTTTTAACCACATCATCATTTCATAGTAACCCAGTCTTGCAGTTGAACTGGGATTCTTATCTTTGATAACCTGACAAAAAAACTGAAACTCTTCAACCATACTCATGTCAATTGTATACATAAGAAGTGGACCAAATGTCTGTTCTTCGAGCTCTAAACCTTGTTCCCTCATTAATTCGAAAAGGTGAAAAACCTTCCCCATCTCTTCAATTGCAATGTCTTCATTCTCGGCTTCCCTAGCTTTACCTATGCATATTTTTATCAATGCATTGTATCCTATCACACCTGGTGGTCGTTCAACTTTATCAAACAACTCAAGGGTAGCCTCAATTCCTAGTATCTTCCCACAACTTTCAATTATGCGGCAGAAACGTTGTTCTTGATTAGTATTGAATATGCATTTTCTTTTCTTTTCACGAGAAGCCTCTTTCCTTCGCAATGCTATATTGCTTTGAGGTGAGTTTGGCAACTGCGATATATTTATTATTTTTTCAAACTCATTTGTGGCATCAATTTCTTCAGAATAAGCTCCCTGGACTGACTGACCACCTGAAATAAGTAACAATACACTAGTAGTATAAGTTGTTGAGCTGGTTCTGGTATTATCAGTCGCGGAAAATAGTGATTTGTCCAAATTCTGCTACGCTAAAGTGCTATAAGGGCGCTATATGACAACAAGATGCACAAAATCACGAATCACATGACAAATAGTGTTTTGTTCAAATTCCACTAAGCTATAGCGCCACACCATTATAGTCCTATTTGACAACATTGTCTGGGCCACTTCAAGGGTTGAAGAATCAGGTCCAGGGTTCAATCCCTTACTACTAACATAACACAAACTATTCATAAGAGATGGAATAATAGTCAATAAAAAGTTGAAATTACAAATTAAGCTACAGAACTGAGACTTTCTTTGAGTTTTCTTCCATATCCTAAACAAAATAGGAAATATATTTTCTCAGAGACATTTTAACAAACACTTACCGTAGAAAACAGAAGAAATCTGCTGAAAAACCCCTTCATAATTTTCATCTGCAACAACAAAATACCCAAAACAGAAACAAATAAAATGATATTTTATAGTAAAATACTCCAACAAAATCGAATACAACAATACCCATTAACGTAATGAGTCGAAATCTAGAATACCCAGAAACGATTTCGGTGGTTGTTGTTATTAGTGGGATAAAAAAGTTACCTGAATCAGGGTTTTGTTGAAGGTTAAGGCTTGTGAGGATAGAATGGGTGGAAGAAGATGATGTAAAAGAAGAAGAATGAGGATTGAATTTGGGGGGTGAATGTGAGCGAAAGGGGGTGCATAGATTTCGTATAATGTGGTAGTAGCGCATTTGAACTTGAGTTGAAATGGATTAGCTTGAAGTGGTGAAGAATTCTGTTTCTCTAACGTGGAAATGAAATCACGCAGTTATTTCTATGATCAATTTACCAGTGACATGATTTATATACCTATCACCTTAGATTATGTTTGAATAAAGTAATTAGAATTTTTTAAAGGAATTCAAAATTCCAAGCGATTCAAATGATTCTATTGAAATTTATTTAATTTTAATTTATTTTTTTGTTTGGATGTAGTATTAAAATGATTCATTGTTAAATTTTTGGGATCATTTTCATAAAATTTTAAATTTTTGAGCCAAATTTAAAATATGAAAAATAAGAATCAATTTGTAATTTTTGAAAATTTCAAGAGATCAATTTATAATTTTTGAAAATTATTTAGGGACCTATTTATAATTTTTTGAAAATTTTAGAGGTAAATCTGTAATTTTCATAAAATATATGAACCATTTTGTAAAATTTGAAAAATTATTACTAAACAATTTAACATTCAAATTATAGAGTAATATGAAATTATTTTTTTTTTTAGTGTCATTTGAAATTCCTTAAATTTGACTTGAATAAAATACTTCATAAATTTACATCATTTTAACAATTCTCCATATTTTTTATCCAAGCAATGGATTTTGATCAAATCATTTAAATTCCCTCAAAAAAAATTACTTTCACTCATTAAAATGTTTCATCCAAACACATTTTAAAGATTTTGAGTGAATATATGGTGTCTCTTTCACTTGTGTGTTGCTCTTGACTCAATGTGGATGTTCTCCATGATGACCTAACACCCCAGGCGCTCCGGAGCCCAAGGCTGCTCCCTTCCTTCTCGTGTAGGCTCAAAATCGAGCTCTTCTAAAAAGACGAGGATCTTAATGAGTGACCCCATAAGTCATGCTAATCTGACAGTTATTGTAAAACTTTATCTTGTAGGCAATAAGTTTTCTTTTAAATTTGGGTGGTGAATATGAGCGAATGGGGGTGCATAGATTTCTAATAATGTCGTAGTAGCACATTTGAACTTGAATTTGAATGAATTAGATTGAAGTGGTGAAGGGGGAAATGAGCGAAAAATCATGGGAAGAGGATGAGTATTATTTTAGAGAATTTCTTTCCACACCTAGTATACTTCTTTCAGACCTCTGGCAAAAACTTAAAATACTTCCAGAATTCAGAAGTGCATATCCGAACGAACCACCAATGTGATTTATTAAATTTATTTCGGATATGCATATCTGAAGTCACCTGTTAGACAATTTTGGATATGTATATCCAAATTTATCTCTGGGCAGAATATTATTCAACATATTCATAACATACATTTAACATAATTCAAAGAAGTTACATAAATAGTTATGCAAAAAATTAAAGTTACATATTGTTATAAGCGGGTAGTTAAGGACGTCGCAACATCTTGATAACATCTTCTGTCGATCTTTGAAGCTTCACATCCATCTCAATCAGACCCTTAGAAGAGTATTGTTGAAAGGTACCTCACATAACCTCTAAATTATCTGCGTTCTTAAGCTCAAACAGGGTGAACTTTATGTTTCCTTCAATATCAATTGAAGGTGAACGATACTCAAGCTTGACAACCTTTCGATTCTCTGGATATTGCAAGAGAGAATACAATATGGTAATGAGCTCGGTGAACAACGTGTCCTACGAGAACCTGAATTGAAGTGGTGACTGCGTACCACTGAAGTAGACAAAAGCATGGTGCGGATATGTTTGTGTCATTTCTGGTTGTGGTATCTGATGGATAAAGAAATGGAATGGAAGACCCAATTTATAGCCTTTTTGGAGAAATATGGACCAAAGAAATCTTACCAGGACATATTTCAGAAGTACACTTCAGAATTCCTCTTATTTTTATCAAAAATAGGGGTTTTCAAACATGCACATCCGAAGACACCATGATTTTTATTAAAAATTAGAGGTGAATTCGGAAGTTCATATTCGAAATAAGTCTTGTGTTTTTTTTTTAATTGAAGGTTAATTCGGAAGTGCACTTCCGAATTATGCAGAACCAGAACTCAGTTTCATTATTATTTATAAAAGTGCATGAAAAAAAAAAACAATTGTAACACTAAATATAGATAATATGTTATATATGTATTGAAACATATAGATTTTACAGTGTGTACGACAATACATTCAAAAAATGGTTCGATTACATTCTAAAATGCACCGAATGAATTGTCACCCCTTAAATTTAAAACCGATTCTTTCTTCGACTTATCCCTATTTGATTCTCTCTCAAGCTCCATTAAATTGGTGAACTCTACCATCTTATCCAAAAACTGATTCGGCCAAGTTTCTGCCTCTTTTTTATGACGTGTCGTCCATTCCACGGATGTAGCCGGTATAGGACAACCCGATTTCAAATAAACCTGAACAAAATAGCGTGATCTAAGGTAACCAATACACATGATGCAGCCAGATGGATCTTCAGGCAAGGGAGTTCAAAGAGGAAAAAATGCTTCTGAAAACTCATACCTCCTCAAGTCAATACACACCCTCTCATATGCACTTGCTATAAGATGACTCATTTCAAGGAAGCTCATCCACTTAGCAACGGGTGCACGAATGGTAACACTTGGAGCAAAGCATGGTGAACTTTATTAAATTTATTCGTAGTCACATACAAGCGAGTGTAGAGTTCACTATGTGCCATCAACTCTGAAATAAGTGTTTGGCACACAAGAGTGTGAATCTCTGTTGTACCCCAAAATTTACCCTCTTGTTTTTAGAACTTTAAGGGCTTATGTTTCATCATATGCATTCATACATGATGATTGGATCAAGTTATTTTGGTTCCCAAGTTCCTATGAAAGTTGATTGTGTTGTCAATCAATGAAAGAAGGGTCTCATGCCCTCAATATTTGAGTCTCTCAAGCTACAAAAGTTTCTCATACCTCAAGACATCTCAATTGTCTCTTTGATTCATCATAAGTTTGAAGTTGCAAGTGTTGGTTCTTGAATTACTATTCTCCTATGCATCTCTTGAGATTAGGGTTTTGGCCAAATAAAGTGTTTGATGCTTGTGTGGGCCAAATTTGTGAAGTAATATCCTCTCACTGTCATATGAGACATCTTTGTCCAATAAATTTATCATCATGTTCCTTGGAATTAGGGTTTTGCGATTAGATCATCATCTCCTAGCACACATGGCCAAAATTAGGGTTTTTGATTTAATCAGGAAATCTCTGATTTTTGGGGCAAGACTTGATTTCATGCTTCTCTACATGTTTATTATCACCTATGGTTGAAGGATTTAACATCAATTTTGATTGGAAGTGGTAAAACAGTCATTTGAGCAAAAGTCAACAAAAGTTAACTGTGGCCAAGGGGATTTTTGGTCAACATTCAATTCATTATTTCTTATGTTACATGGTCATTGATGAAAGAAAATCAAGAGAAATGGTGAATTGAAGATAACTTGTCAAGGAAGTTATTTGGAATTTTGAATTTTTCTAAATGTTTATAGTACTAAACTTTGAATGATCATAACTTTATCAATTTTTATTGAAAACGTGAAAACTTTACATGGTTGGAAAGCAGAGAAAAAGTTCTTTAACTTTGTCCTTCTGAGCCCAAGTCCAAAGAGTGAAGTGAAAGAAAATTATTTAGTTGGGAATATTCTTAACACTTAGTGAATTTTCAAAATATGTGAATAAGGTCTGAATTCTTTATGATCATTTTTGAGGTGTCAAATGAATTCAATTTTAAAAGGTGTTAACTAGAGAACTTAAGATTGTATTCTCCTTTACAATTTTGATTCAAGAATATTTTCATTTGGTTAAGTATTGAGAGAGATATGATGTTTAGGATTTGAGGCCTTGAGAAGGCAAGATTTCCCAGCAAGAGAAGCCCATGCGTACATCAGGCCTGGAAGTTCAACAAACAGGTGGTGGGCATACATTCACAACCATTTTTCTCATCAAATTAATCTTCATTTTGAAAAGTGTTGAACATCAAAGTTGGAGTGTGATGTATCTTCTTTAATTTTGATTCAAGGCTTGTTTCAATTATAGAGTTTGGAGAGATTTATTGGATTTAGAAGTTGAAAGAAAGAACTTGGAAAATGTATTCCATATGCGCGCAAGATTGCCCAGTCTAGCCTGTCCAACCATCAAACAAACACATTTTTCGTGCTCATTTTTGAGGTTTTTAAAGCTTCCAAAATCAAATGTCATCAACATAGAAGTTGTGGGAAATCATTTCCCCTTTTCAAAAAGTCAAAGTTTGTGTTTTAATTCCAAGAAGTGAGTGAGTTACGGTAGTTATGGCTAGAGGTCATTATGCATAACATGTCAACTTGTGGTTTCAGCTAACTCTCATAATGCAAGCATCACACAAACTTTATCATTTTGTTAGAAATGCCTCAAATACCCTCCAACGGTCTCAAGCCTCAAAAGACACTCCTACCCTCACTCTCCTCACTCTATAAGAAATCTCTTTTCATTCTTTCACGGGGACGAGCTCTACTCTCTCTCTCTCTCTCTCAGTCTCAAAAAAATTAGAATTCTCTTCATTATTCAAGTTTCTTCTTCGAATTTCTCTCAAGCTTCTTCCTTAGATCTTATTTCTTGCATCATTCTGCTAATTTGAAGTTGAAAGGAAAAGATCAGCTGGGTTTTTGAAGATCAAAACCAGAGGCATTTGTGAATTTATTTTTCACAAATTGAGTTAATTTTCCATGAACTTCAAATCTCTCATTTCAGCATGAATTAGTGCTTTAAATCATGTTCATGATGCATTAGTTGGCCGGACAATAGGTCTGAAGCACGTCTTTGGTGTGAATTGAACCTTGAATTGATGATTTATGCAATTTTTATGTGTAGTGGGAGAACTGACTTGGGTGTTTTGCATTTTATTACAATTGTTGCGGATAGCAAGAGTCGCCACCGACTTTTCTTTTATCCAATAAAGGAAATGGTGAAAAGAACAGGAAAGACCTTTTGAGAATTTTCTTGAGTTCGAGGGGTAGGTT